TCGTATCAGCTCGCGAACGATCTCATTTTGATCACAATTATATGAGTCCGAGCTTATAAATATAAACTCATATAATAAATGAGCTAAACAGAGTTGAACCATGATATATTCTAACTCAGCATAAACTGAACCAAACAAAGTAGCTCCGTTTGACACCCCTAGTCTTGCCTAGTATTCTTTTTCTTTTTGTTAAAGAGTTTGATCATTTGGTCTACATTTCTGTCTAGGTTTGAGTGAGCTATATTTATGAAAGTTCAAACTTTAAAGCATCAATGGTCTATTTTGCACGAATTTGCATTTAGATCGTGTGTATCAATAGACGTCGTTAATTACTGCCTAAACTAAAACATTTATTTGCGAAACTAAGTAAAAATTAAATGTATGATCCATTAGGTATCCAACCATAGATAATTTTATATCCAATCTTGATAACTTGATAAGAACAAAAGTACGCAAGGTGTTATAAACACTACAAAAAATATGTTGATTTCGACAAATATATTCCGACTAATAGCTCTGTGGAATATATGTTATGGAATTTGAACCACATTTTTATTTGTTTAGTTCTCTGTTCAATCGTGTGGTTTTTAAATTATGATAAAAACATCATAAAGTTTTTAAAAATCACTACATCAATTTATTTCTTGGTTTTTTCTTCACTTATTCATGATGTGTCGTAGTTTAGTGTACATATATTTAAACACTATGAAAAATATGTTGGCAAAATGAACTCTTAAAAGTTTGAAATTAGTTATGGTAAATCCATCAAGAAATATTTTTTAAACTTTTCCTCCACGTTCCAATTTCCAAATGACTCATCTTTTTGTTACATATTTTCGCAAAATTATAAAATAACATATCAAATTAGAAAAAAAATCTTGCGACAAAATATCCACATCTGATATCGTTTATTTAACTCGACCATTGATGCTTGGTTTATATATTCAACTTGAACAAAAACGAAAGCCAACGATTGGTTTAAAAGTTCATAAAACTGTAATTTATTGACCCAATTTCAGCCAATTCGGATCATGTTATAATGCAAAGGTTGGTATCCTATCGTCAATTTTTAAGTTATATATAGATCAACATCTTACTCCAACTGAAATAAATTTTGCCATTGAATTATATTTTAGTTCGATTTAAACAAATGTGGACGAATGTGATTTGTATTTCTTTTTTTGCTAAAAAATATGATTTGTATTTCTTAAAAGCATGTATTGTGTCTATCTTTCCGCAGAACTGTGCCAATCCTCATAGCTTCGCCAACGCACAAAACAAGTCCTAACGTAATCTAATATATATGTACTAAAGTAAATATCAACACAATTGATCATTGTGGTAATGTAAACAATTTTTTAAAGTAGTAATTATAGCTCATATCTATTCTAACGAACCAAACAATCACGTAAACAAATTAACCATTGTAACCCAACGACAAAAAATGAACCTTTCTTATAAAACAAATTCGAAGCTTGATCATGTTATGATATCACATTAAAAATTTAACTTATAATTAATAAAAAAAACTTTGAGCAAATATAAATTTATTTATTTGGTCACAAGACTCTTCCCTAGAGAAAGAAATAGTTTTATCACGTCGACATCGCTCTATTATCTCGTAGACTTGTTAGTTACAATAGTCAAGATACATTTTAAGAAAGAAAAAAACAAAACATACATGAATATCCACACGTATATTAAACTTAATTTTTGTCCCGCGTCAAACGCGAGATTAAAATATTCAAAAATAAAATTCATATTTTTTTTATAATATACAAGATAAATTAGAAATAACCAATATCAAATGGTTTATCTCCCATATTGATAAATATATTTGATCTTATAAATTTTAATTTAAATTACACTTAGATTATATGTACGTGTTTTTTTTATGTAAATCGAATACTTTAAAGATTATTGGTTCTTTCAAACTTATTTGAGTTCACCAAAACTAAAAAAATATCGCGTTAGTATGTAAAATCTTTTCAAATAAAAATCAAAGAAATAATAAAAAAGTGAGAATGATGATTTTTTGAAATTCAGTCATTAATATTTGATTTGTAAAGTTGTACATTTATAACAAAAACGCAAATTTTGTAACGCCTGTGAACCAAAATGTGTATTTTTGGTTGGTGCGTCGATCGACACAGTGTGTGTGTGGATCGACACACGTTGTTCGACTTATGAGAAGTCGGGTTTTGAGTGT